GGCTCTCACCTACAGTCCTAGACAGGCATGGGTGATTGGTGTAGGCACAGGCATCTGGCTGCAGCAGGGGGACACACTCTGAGCTGACACCCACCACTGAGTGTCCAAGAGGAAAGTGTATCCCTGTTCCCTAGAACATGTAGGTGGGTGGGTTTTGCAGCCGGACTATGAGCACCCAGTGCTGTTGGCTGTAAGGACTACGGGGCACCTCTTATTCTTGGGCCCCTATCGCAGGTGGCTAGGTGGCGTGGGCAGAGCCACCAGTCTTTAGGCCCCTGATGTGGGTAGGTGAAGACCCTGCTTAATGGGCAGAGCAGTATCAAATGTAACGAACCTGCCACTTCACAGCTGAAACAGTTGAAGTTAGACTTCAGGTATGTACCCTGTTGTACTGCAGTAATGAGGGCCTACACTGTTGAAATGGGCCCACACAAGTCTATGCAGGGGAAAAGGCACTCAAAGTCTGTGGATCCCTTATGCCTGTGCCTAGGCAAAGGAGCTGTGCCCACCCTGAGCTCCTGGCCTAGGGGAGCCAGCAGATTGGTTTTTCCCGTTTGTTAATTTGTTCACTCTCCGAGGCCAGGAGAGTGGGTCAGGGCGTGTGATGGGTCCACTTCCGGTCCAGGGGACTTGGCAATTGCTGAAGCCGGTTCGGGACCCAGTGCAAACCAGGGAGCGGGGAGGTAAATGGGAGAGAGGTTTTTCCCTGGGGGTGTTTTTGATCTGCGTGGTAGGCTGGACGCAAGTACTTATCTTTTCCCAATCGAGGGCTGCTTCTCACTGGTTCTGGATGGCCGAATAGACTCTCTGCCCCTGGGTCTCTCCCCGTGCGGAAAACACCCCACAAGCGCTGCTGCTTGCCTGCCTCACCACTCACCCTTGAGCTTATCCGGGTTGAAGGGCTCAGGCTCTTGCCGGGTCAGGTCTGGCAACTCCTCGCTGCTTCTGAACCGTCTCTTCCTCCCCCTGCCACTCAGTCTCATTCCTCAACTTTGCCTTTGATGTTCAGGGTTCCTAGATTGTCACATATAATCAATTCACTTGTTTTTTTGAGTCTTTGTTGTAAGAGTGAACATGGAAGCATTTGACTATTCTGTCATCTTGGCCCCACCTCTACTGAAATATCTTGACCTGAGATCTTCTCTTGTCTTCATTGAATTGTCTCCTTTCAAGATATAACTTTGAAATGATTTCTAGGAGGCTCTTGCCATGTGGCTTACGCGAACTGAAAACATGGATTTTATTCAAGACTCACTGCTATGATAGTTCCTAGAATCCAGACTATAACCTGAAAATCCCTTTTAGCAGCTTGGTTAAAATGTTTGGTGGTTGGCATTGTGATTAAAATAAAGTTTCAGTACGAGATCACTGGAGTTAAGGTTCTTCTGTGACAATGCAGACCCTAAATTATTTGTTGTTGTTCTTAGATGCCATCAAGTCAGTTCTGACTCATAGTGACCCTGTGTACAACAGAACGAAACCCTGCCCAGTCCTGCAGCATCCTCACAGTCGTAGCTGTGTTTGAGCCCATTGTTGCAACCACTTTGTTAATCCATCACATTGATGGCCTTCCTCTTTTTTACTGACCCTCTACTTTACCAAGCTTGATGTCCTTCTCCAGGGACTGGTCCCTACTGCTAACATGTCCAAAGTACGTGAGGCAAATTCTCACCATCCTCGCTTCTAAAGAGCATTCTGGCTGTACTTCTTCCAGGACAGATTTGTTTGTTCTTCTGGCAGTCCAGATATATTCAATTTTCTTTGCCAACACCATAATTCAGGGGCATCAATTCTTCTTCAGTCTTGTTTATTCATTGTCCAGCTTTTGCATGCATATGAGGCAAATTAAAATACCGTGGCTTGGGTCAGGTGTACCTTAGTCCTCAAAGTGATGTCTTTGCTTTTTAACACTTTAAAGAGGACTTTTGCAGCAGATTTGCCCAATGCAATACATCATTTGATTTCTTGACTGCTGCTTCCGTGGGTATTGATTGTGGATCCAAGTAAAATGAAATCCTTTACAACTTTGATGTTTTCTCCATTTATCATAACATTGCTTATTGGTCCAGTTGTGAGGATTTTTGTTTTCTTTATGTTGAGGTGTAATCCATACTGAAGG